CCAGTCCGCTTTCCCTCACACAAACTTGAAATCGCGGTACTTTAAAGCACTGGCGAAGACCATTAGTGCCGTCGGAAAGAACGCCGACTATTAGCGGGCGCACCTTTTGTCAAGTGAAAGATCAACGTTATATGGTGAAGGCAGCCGACTACACAACGTGTGGCACACCTACTTAACGTCAATATTTCTTTTTGAAGGCTCAACTCTGCGAGTTAATTGTAAGGGGTCTTAAAATGAGTCTTAATGCATTGCTGGTAACTGCATGAAAACCTGGTAAAACACCGGTTTACCAGATGGCCACACATACGTACATTTCTAGCAATAAACGTCACATTTTTTACCCGAGAGATGAAAGGGGGTTGCCATGGTGTTAATATAAATAAGTTGAACTTATTTTGCACCGTACGTAGCCAACCGTAATGGTTAGCACACTGGGTGAGCAATCCAGAGGTTTTGTAATAATTTACTCATTTTTCCAGGAAAGCCACACCGAGTGTTGGGACTCGTTTTCCGGAGGGTCCCGATACATTGGGCATTTATTATTTTTATATTAAAGATGTTTCCGGTCAACTCATGAGTGTTCATACAAGCGGGAAGAAACTAGCGCACTCAGAGAAAACCCCACGCTCGCGAGGGGGCAACACTCGATGCCCGTACAGCAATAAACAGATGGCGATTAGTCCACTCGCTGCACCGCCGTCTCCTGGAGAGCCAGGGTATGGCACCTCAACGACGCCGCACGGTTTGGGGGTTTCTTTCGCAACATCCGTGCGGTGATCCACCAACCCTGGATCACAGGCCACGTGCTGTCGCCACCGCCGTCGCCAAGTCAGTTGCAGCCTACCTTCGGCGTGCTTGTGCCCACACGGCAGTGTAAAATCGGTACATCGCAGTCGAGGACGGGGGGTGGGGCTAGTGGCAGCGCGTTGGCATCGTTCTTGGTTCGAATCCACCGGCCGCCCCGACTAGTACTGCGGTGTGTAATAACAGTAATAATACTACGCACAGTCTGCTTCACAGCACACGTTAAAGATCCCCTGAGGTCATTATTCACAAGAGTAAGTGTCATAGTGTGTGTCGGCGTCAAGGTACGAAGGTGCCAAAAGCGAACATCACGCCGAAAATCACTCGATCGGGGTGATACACAAATAGAGCAGCAATCCAAATCCCCCCCAAAAATGCTGTTTAAAAAATATGTCTTCTCTGGTGCTATAAAGTAAACGTCGTTTTGCTTTAATTATGTAGTAAAACACGAAATTTTCATGACAATTTGTTTGCGAGAGATTTAGGATTTTTTTTTTACTAAAATCAACTAACACTACTTAAAACGCTTAACATTGTCAATTACATTGAGTGCATAAACAATATTAATGCGTATTACATTTAAATACAAAAATAAAACATTGGGGGTGAAAATATATACTCCACATCTGGGAAAGTTAAATATAAAACTACCCCTAGTGGGTAAACGAATGTCCAATATACCTACTGAAACAAATATAAGCCACTAATCATGAGCCATTGTGCACTCCTGATTTCACGGTCTCTAGACTCCTTTTTTACTACACATTGTAAATAGACTGGGCAGCCTCTAGAGCTTACAAAGCTGAAAATCAATACTGTTATAATAAGACGAAAGGGCCATCCGTGTAAGATGTATCATATCAGCACTGGTGTGCTCTTATAAACAGCAGAGGCTTATATAATCCTTAGCCCAAGCACCCTAATTGTTGAAACAGCCTCCGTGGTGCTGAAATATAAATCGAAATACGTGACACGTCCATGCAGGATATCGATGCGGAGACGCACGTTTTGTTCACAGACGAGTTTCCATAATTACAAAGATTACTTTGACAGCGACCAGTGCCTTGAAAGCGGCACAAGCCATTTATGTGTAGTCATGTGTGGTGGATATGAGCGTGCTGCGTCCATTTATTTTGAAGGCCACGTGTTATGGTGGTGATCCAGGAAGTAACTTGAAACCGTTTGATCGTCAAAGCAGAAGGGTGGAGCAGTGGTGAACGCACTGAACTATAAAGGCAGCAACCTTGAGTCTGAGACTCGCCCGTGGCTAACATTACGAAAACTACACTAAAGCAACACTTTTTGCTTCAAGGCCCACTAGTCTATATATATATATCTCTTTTCAGAAGAGACCTGGCCACAAATGATAGCTCAACAAAGTGGCTTATCGCCTGGAAATTTATAGCTGCCAAATACTGTAAACGCATGTTTCTAAATGTGGATGGAAAAATCTGAGGGCCTGGAGGAAAATCCACGGGACCACGGGGAGAGCATGCAAACTCCAAATATACAGCAGGCGTCAGGGTCGGGATGGAACCCACGACCTCCTACATACCGGAGAAGGGAACTAACATCTCGCCACCATGGCGCCCATTAGTGGCAATTGATATCTGAATCAGTCATGGGCTCCTCCCCCTAACTTCTCCAACCCAGACTTGATTCGAAGCTTTCGTGGCTGCAGGAATTACTCTGTTTTTTTCGGGAAAGTCACGTATAAATAAGAAATAACATAATAACATAATAGCGTACGACGTTTCGGAACTAACACAGATACAACAGGGGACACAGAGACAGAAGCATACCAAACAAACAGGGTTTTGTCAAAATTTGGAAACCATATAAAGCAACACAGATGGTCGGTCAAAACACAATTAACGCATAGTCCGGTTGATTACGCTATTAAAATACAGACGCGCACACACACATAGACATCCAATTAGAGCGAACCAGCACAGACACACACACAGTGAAGTCGCCTTAAATAGGCAGAGAAGGTAAGGCTGAGAGACAATGAGACAATTTAGCATGAGGTATGCATGGAGCAAAGGGGGCGCAGCAGCACACACTCGGAAACACCAAGGCCCACACACAGGCAGACAGCACAGAGACACAAATCCAAGCCAAGACACAAAGGCAGATACACAAGCAGAGACAACACAAAGACACAAACCTCATACCTCCCCGTAGAGGTGGTTCAGACTTGATTGGAAGCTTTCGTGACTGCAGGAATGACTCTTTGGTTTTTTCGGTAATTGTGTTTTGACCGACCGTCTGTGTTGCTTTATATGGTTTCCAAATTTTGCTAAACCCTGTTTGTTTGGTATGCTTCTCTCTCTGTGTCCCCTGTTGTATCTGTGTTAGTTCCCCCCTACTTGGGTGTCTGTATATACATCTGGGGTTATGTGTTTCCTCTCTCTCATAAATTTAGCTCTTCTGTACCTGATGATGGCTGCTTGTGTTGCAACCGAAACGTCGTACGCTATTATGTTATTTTATTATTTCTTATTTATACGTGACTTTACCAAAAACAACAAAGAGTTCTCCAACCCAGTTACCAGCGTGGTGAAGTATGGACGACAAACCCCATGACCAACACAGCGTGTAGGAGGCCTTCGTCCAGCAGTGGACTGACAAAGGGCTCTACATTAAATATTTCGAAATTGCACGGATGAATGTTGAACTTCTTTCGCACCGTACGCAGCCAACTGTGCGAATCGGAGGTGCGGCAGCCTGTCTTTGCCCCCAGGTGACCAGCTAGCTCGCTAGATCAGGCATGTTTGTACCTGACGTACAGTCCAATATACCGATGTTGCCTCTCCACTACCCTGCTGGAGGCATGCAGGGAACTCCGTTTACATAACGTAAACAAAGAAGGCATGGTGCTGTCACTACGCGTGACAAAGTACATCACTGTTCTCGATAGGTAAGACCCACCCCGACCAGAGTGTCACATCACGTGTTCATAGGTATTGCCTCACCCACGACGGATAGCTTTTAACAAAAGTAGAACGTGTGTTGCCAGGTTCACAGAATGGTGCTCTTCTTCATATTGCGTGCTGCGAATGTTAGATGCAGAGCATCAACCACATTGTCACATTATATGGTGCACTCACTACTAGGCGACCGCGCCACCCCTGTGCTGTACACAGCATATGTGCCAGATTCAATAATGCAAGACTTCCATCAATCGTGCAAGTAAAAGCACCGCGTACAGTGACATCGTCCACGGCTGTGCCACTCACACCGCCACAAGCGTGCCACTCATCTGCACGCGCGCGACGTCACTCGCATCAACACAGGTGTGCGGCTCGGACGCACGGTTGTGCCACACGCCAGCGGTGATGTGCCACTGAACACCACGGCAGGTGCGCGCCATCGCTGGTCCAAACTTGCACGCACGTGGCACAACCCGGAGCTTAGGGGGGGGGCATCCATTTCGTCGGTACGCAAAAAATCTGTCAAAACTTGACCCCCCCCCCCTTCCTCCCTGTACGCACGCGCACTTTTTAGGCCAATGTAGACAAATTATTATCGAGGCTTCACCCCCCCCCCCCCCGTATCCTATGCGTACGCACATTGTCAGTAGACCCCCCCCATACGCAAGCGTACACATTTGGGTTAACCCCCCTCCCCCTCCATGCGTGTGAGATGTTATCCCCGTCGCCTGGTATCAGGAGGTCGTAGGTCTAGTCCGGACCCTGACGCCTGCATATTTGGAGTCTGCATGTTCTCCCCGTGGTCGCGTGGATTTTTCTCTCTCAGGATTTTTTCCCCTCCGCATTAAGAAACGTGCGTTTAGAGTTATTTGGCTGCTATATACATTTCCACATAGGACATTTCGTTCAGCGATCACTTGTGGCCAGATGGCTCGCATTTTGAAAAAGAGCTCATAGAGCTCGGTGGGCTTCACCTGGCAAATACAACAAGTAGTATAAATAGTAGCTGAACTCACCCAGAAAATGACGGCGTATGCGAAGAGCGCGTACTTGAGACATTTGTACGTGAAGGCATCGCAGCAACGCTGGGATGCAGATGGGTTCCCATCGTTCCCAGTCGCCATGATCGTTCGGCAGAGGAGGTGGGGGTGGTGGTGCGAGTGGTGGCGATGTGCTTGGGGCGGTGTGTGTGTGTGTCGTGTGTCGTGTCACCCACGCACGCACTCACTCACTCACTCACGCGCCCACACACACACACACCTGTGTGCGGCGACACAGAGACGGCGGTTGTACGAAGACCCCCCCACCCTCTTCGCGTGCCCTGTTGTACCTTGAGCCCATCTGCCTGACCAATCAACCAACCAACACCTGGCCGGGCGGGGACATCCACCGTGGACTCCACCTCCTCTACGCCCGCGAGAGCGCAACAGCACCTGACGTTGCCAAATCACGCGCCCAGCCCGCTCACAACAAAGCAACTCTCTTTACGATAGACCGGTTTTTCACGGGGCTACCAGTGGATAGGAGAAAATCCCGCGTATTTAGCTCTTCTCTTTTAACTCCAGCCCCCCCCCCCCCCCGCGAGAGTTGGCCAGGGATGGGCTCTGGGAAAACCTGGTAAGGGCGCAGCCCTGCAATTTACTCGCTCACGTCCCCGTCGGAGGATATGCTCCTCCAATTGAGGGAATTATAGGGAGCCGGTCTAAGAGGGTGTTTGGCATACTCTTCGACGCTGGTCAGACGTCTTGGAATATGTAGGAGTACCCATTGTTTACACCACCAAAAAGACAAAGATACCCGTATAGCCTTAACAGACTATAGGAACAAGTGCTGTTAGTGAGCACCTATGGAGGCCGGAACGGCACACGAGGGCTGGGTTGCCAGCACCACGCTCGGCCGCCTTTGTCTCCCTAGTGGCGATGTTTACACACCACACCAGGTACTCATTTGAGGCTGAGTCGACCTAGGGGAGGCCCAGGACCGGTTCAGATAATCGCCACTGGTGTTGGTCGTGAGCGGGAATCGAACTCGGGGGACGAATTTGTAGCGCAGCGTAGCGCTGACCGCTACGCTACGCATTGTTCACACCACCATACGCCACCACACGTGACCCTAACTTTGTTACGCTTATTTAATACGAATGCAAATCATATATATGTGTGTGTGTGTCCGTATATTTTATCTCTTATCTCATTTCACAATTGAGTGAATGAGACGCACAATAGCCCGACCCACACAGTGCGTTCGGGTGGCATCGCTTTTGATGGAAAAAGAGCTGCGCTTGTAATGCCGCTAATCCTGCTGATAAAACAAAAATAACAAATTGCAGCCCCTTTTTGTGCGTCGTGATGCCCGTGTATTCTCCAATGGGTGAGCTTTACAATGTTAAACAACTCGGGCATTGTGGCTTCATAATCTCTGCCTTGGACGGGACACAGGCTGGGTAGGGGTGCAACCTTGGATCGAGTACTGTGTTGCAATTGTGGCTCTGTCGGTTGATCTGACCAACATTTAAACGTGCCGATTTCAAACGTTCGATTGTTCAGGGCTGTATGCCAATTGGAGGGATTTGGAATGCCAGGGCGGACCGTGCGAACATTTCAGGAGAAGAGAGATAAATAAATATTCAAACACATCATCATCACCCATGATAAATCCCCTGCTGGATGAAGGCCTCGCCAATATATTGGCCCAATTCTGAACGGCATGCGCTGTGTTCTACGTCTCACCTCACCTAATAATGTAACACTTTATTGAACGTGAAGGTCAAGAGGTCATCATAACGAATGCCAGTTGATAGCAACACCCTTTAACATTACCCGGATTTGTCGGTGAAGCAGTGGCAAAGTGGTTAGTGCACGGTGTGCACCTGATTATGAAGCAGGTGAGCAGAGTTCCACTCCTGGCCAAGGTTAACGTCAGTGGCGAATGATATCTGCGCCGATCCTGGGCACCGTTGACCAGAATAATTGAGAATGGTCAAACAACCTCCGTGTCTGACGCAATGTGTAGGGAGTATTCATGCAGCAGTTTCATTTTAAATATAAATATATGTCTGTAATGTATTACTCTGCAGGAGGGTTGAGGCAGGGGTCGGAAGCCTTTGGCTCTGGAGCCGCGTGTGGCTATTTAAGCAAACTGCTTCGTGACGCGTTCTTTATTAAAGACCCACCACCGTCTCGCATTCACCACCGCAGTGCATTGGCTCATGAAATATTGAGGTGTTTTTTACCGAATTAAAATAATAGTTTTGGTTGCCGACTCCTGGATTAGGGTGTCTGGATTTTTTGCATGTGGTTTGGGACTCCCCGAGGTTGACTCAACATGAAGACAGTACTATACTCTGTGTGGTGGCATGATATACATCAGCACTGGTGAGATGGGGACGATTTAACCGAATAAATCCTCTATGGGGGTTGCTCCCAGTGTTTGGAACCGTACCGAGTTATTTGTGTTTCATTTTGGCCTTTCCTCAATTGTGTTCTGATTGCACCAACAGTGCTGCCTAAAGAAGTGCATCACCGGCCTTGGGTATCTGCTGATATCACGTGGACAGTTTATACGGTTAAAGCGGTGGGGAGGGCTGGTGCGGGGTGTATTTCATATCCCTGGACGTCTATCACTTCATCATGTGGCCACAATGCAGCATTGAATTAAATCGCGACGTAATTTGCAACAAAGGCGATGATGGCCAGCCGCTAGCTCACCTGTTTGAGGACTAAATAAGTCGCGCCTTTAAATAAAAAAAACGATGATGCATTGTGCAATTTTCACTCGTCTCGCTTGAGAGTAAACAATCCTGCGTTGTTTATACTTCTCCGCTTGCAGCCGAGGAGGTGGACGAAATTTATTTAATCATCCCGCATGCGGGGGGCACTTAGGTGAAAAGTGTCAGCTAACATCACCGGTAAAAGTATAAACACTCGAGCAGGCTTTGCTGAAAACAATGACGTCGTCAATTTGGCAGCGCTCCTCTCAAAAGGATTGCACATTCATTGTTTTGAAGGTCACCTTATTCTCATCGCATGAAGTCAGAATTGAAAAAAATGGTAAATCTATTTCAGGTCCTGCTTGCACGTTGCCTTGTACACAGACCTGCTTCACAGCGGATGCATTGGCATACTTTTGAGTGGATATCAAACGTAACTTTTTCTACTGTGTCGTGTTATCACGCTTCTCCACCTAACGAGCAAAAGTAGTCATTCAACAACTCGGGTTTATGCGTCTTGGTCAACAAATCCCACAAGTGAGCCTTCCTTCCACTTTCTGAAAATGCCTACACACATTCACATCTGTAAAACCTTACACGTAGGTTTTTTTTTTCGGAGCCAAAATTATGAATCCTACATTTAATTTGCTAAATCTGGTTGTTGAGAATAGTTATTTAATTTTTGTTGAGAAAATAATTGCCCCTTTAAACGCTCGTACACCACGTGACAATTCAACTTGTTTGGCTGCATCAGGTGGTGGAGGGTATTACAACATACATTTGGTCAGATCATTACTTGGCCTCACACGGAAAAAATGTATGAAGCAAACTAATGGATCTTCTTTGGTTCTTTCGGTAAAGTCACGTAGAATGAGAATAAAATAATAAATTGATAAAATAAAATAACACAATAATATTCTCACGACGTTTCGGCCACAATACAAGCGGCCTTCATCATGTGAAGGGACGAGACTGTCTGGAGAGACTGTCTGGAGGACCGAAACGTCGTGAGAATATTATTGTGTTATTTTATTTTATCAATTTATTATTTTATTCTCATTCTACGTGACTTTACCGAAAGAACCAAAGAAGATGAATCCTTGCAGTCACGAAATTTAAAAAACTAATGGATGTTTGAAAAAAAATATCTAACAAAAAAATATAATGTTTATTTATAAATCATATCAGTATTTCGACTCCATTCCCTTTATCAATAAATAACGCTTGCAAAGCTCACAATCGTAACATTTAAGACCCAAACCGATAAGGCTAACATCAATCGGTTTCCGAAGGCACCGAGAATTTTAAAATATCCGGACTTGTTTTTTTCTCCAGATCTTTAATCAAAACCTTTGTAGTCTAGACACGGGGACATTTCCAACTCGATAGACCACCCCAACTGCTACAGTCTGCTTTGGTCTTCACAGGCCTACGATAACATTTTTATCACTGGGAACCTTAGGATAGTAATGAGACCATAAGGCTTCATATATTTCAACTCAACTTCAGTATAGTCTATATATTCCACGACTTGTAATGACGCAATAAATGCGCTGCATTTCTCTTATATCTTTACAATTTCCCGCAAAAAAATAGGTAAAAAAACAGGCAGTTATTTACAAGATGTAATTATCCTTTTAAATATTTAAAATTATGTGTTAATATGAATATGGAGATAAAACTAAATATAGGGCAGAATAATGTTTAACAGGTCTGCCATGAAAACACCTTGACACTTGTGTAGTTAATGATGTCGATATATTTTCACGATTATCTTACAGCCCTTTGTTAAGTCAACTGAAAGGTCACGTGGCGAGGTAAAGTGTGGGTATTCCCACCTCTTCCAAGAAATCTGCCTGTTTGCAAAGAGTCGGGCAACCTCGTTTGGGAGGCTCTCCAGGGCTTCGTCCAGTGGAAGTCCTTCTGCCAACGGTGGCGTGAGCAAGCGATTGCAGGGCTGCACCTTTACCTGTGTTACCCCCCTGCTAAATGAATGCCCTCCGTTGCCGATCAGTGTGGGTTGTTGAAAGGGGGAGTTCGGGACCAGTTCAGATACCGTGTGTCTCCCCACTGATGCTCGCCATGGCCCAGAGTCAGGCTGCTGGGGTTCACAACTTATTGCACTAACCCCGCCCCCGCCCCACTCCCCTTTGCGCCTTTGCTTCACGCGAGTCACTTATATAACATAGCATTGTTTTATCAGTTTATTGTATTTGTTACGCGAATTATACCATTTGACCAGTTGCCCGGCCATTTGACAAGCGAGACCCGCGGTGTGCAAGAACAGCAGGAGCAATAAAAAAAACACAAAAGACAACATGAATATTGCAGAGAACAAATACCAGGTCGCTAAGGGATGTTACACAACTTAACAAATGAGACGTTTAATGGCGATAAACGAAACGCGCGAGAATGAGAAAACTGTGCAATGTGAGAGGTTCACGTGCGTTTCACTTTAGTCTAAGAGTGACAAACACACGTGAATAAAAAAAAGAGTCAGTGCAAAAATGGACCGATTAAACAATTGATTCAAATCGATTGGTATGCTCACAATACATGTCTGGAATCATGTGCGTGAGAATTGACAATATTCAATGTTTATATTCTGTTTGACTGGTTCATAAGACCCTGAAGCCATTATATAACAGATAACATCTCCCGGTGTAAAGATGTTATCTGCCTTGCCTGTCATGCAGGAGGTCGTGGGTTCAATCCAAACCCTCACGCCTGTATAATTGGAGTTTGCGTGTCTCTCTCCCCATGGTCGCGTGGATTTTTATCCGGTTTCTCCGGTGTTTTCCCTCCACATTTATAAACAC